GCACATGTGCACATAATCCCCAGCCTGTAAAAAAGTTGCTAGTTAGTGGGTGTCCAAGGAGAGAGGGGACGTAGTGTGAGACAGGACTGTGACTTTAAACAATTAATAGTATAAGGGAGTTAGGATTACAGGTGTGTTCAAATTTGATGAATTTTTCCCAACAGACCCCACCCATTTCCAAGTGGGTCCAATCTTAATCTGAAGACCTGAGGAAATGGGATGAGTGAGGTGTTTCTTTGCTTCATTGAAATGAAAACCTGCAGCCATGCTCTCTGGTCTGGTCTTGTCTCTCTCTCTCTGGTCTTTCTCTGATCTCTCACTGGTCTTTCTTTCTAGTCTCTCTCCCTCTGGTCTCTCTTATCCTGCAGACCTGAGGTAATGGGTGGAGTCTTGTGTGCCCCTGCTTGGTTGGAACGAAAACCTGCAGCCACACCGACCCTATTGAAACACGCTTCATATGTCCAGTCTTGTCTCTCTCTCTCTGGTCTTTCTCTGATCTCTCACTGGTCTTTCTTTCTAGTCTCTCTCCCTCTGGTCTCTCTTATCCTGCAGACCTGAGGTAATGGGTGGAGTCTTGTGTGCCCCTGCTTGGTTGGAACGAAAACCTGCAGCCACACCGACCCTATTGAAACACGCTTCATATGTCCAGTCTTGTCTCTCTCTCTCTGGTCTTTCTCTGATCTCTCACTGGTCTTTCTTTCTAGTCTCTCTCCCTCTGGTTTCTCTTATCCTGCAGACCTGAGGTAATGGGTGGAGTCTTGTGTGCCCCTGCTTGGTTGGAACGAAAACCTGCAGCCACACCGACCCTATTGAAACACGCTTCATATGTCCAGTAGGCTGGTCGACATAGGAAACTCAAGCCTCCACAATGGACCGTCTGAACAGGTTTGCGTCCCCACACGACTTGGTAAACAGGCACATGTGCACATAATCCTTAGCCTGTAAAAAAAAAAAGATGCTAGTTAGCGGGTGTGCAGGGAGAAAGTGGAGGTTAGTGTGAGACAGAATGCATAATAAGGACAGGCTCCTGCTACACTCCATGCAAATGCGCAGCTCCACGTGTCAGCGGCGTGATGGATCTGTTCTGACAGACACAGTGACAGCGCGGTGACAGCAACTTAAAAAAGCCAGCCTCCTCTGCCGGCTGCGCACCCCGCTTGTATATATTTACAACCCCAGCATCTTAATGCACTCCTCTCCCCTAATCTGCCGTGTTCCTCTCCCGCGCGTTCACACACTTTCCCGTATTTCACAGGATATAATATTTTGTGATCAGACGAAGGTTGTAGGGCGATATGCTCTCTCTACTTGGGAGTGCGCGCCCGTGTTTAATGTGCGGATCTGTCAGTGCGCATTGGGGAGACGCGGCTTAAGGTTCAGTGCTAATGCTGAGCAGCGCGCGCTCACGCTGATAATGAATTCCCTTTGGAATTAGTCATGCCATTCAATGTCAGAGTTTTGCAAAAAAGAGCAGAACATAACATTATTTGGGAAGTCTCATTGTTCTTCTGTGACAGTATGCAGAGCTCTAAATGGATTACATTTGGTTTGAGGAGAGCTCTGACGGCTTGATTAAGAACTACTTTTATTTTCACATTAATAATACATTGACTTTGGTAAACTATATCTTATTTTGTAGAGGTTGCTCCTGGCTGTGCTCGTAATGATGTCACGTGGCAGATAGAAATGAACCCAAGAGGCAGGACTACAAAGTGAGGGATTTCAAAGACAAAAGCAAAATCCAGAGAAAAAACAATAAACAAAGACAAAAATATAAAAGAGACGTGGCGATGGCACTGACGGAACAATGTTTATTGATGTCTATTGAGGTCCAGTCATTCCCCACGACACACCTGCAGCCTCATCATCCTCATCATCACCTCATCACCTCTGCAGTATACTGACCCGGTTCATCCTTCACCATGCACGAGATCGTCAGTATATTCTCCTTGGCCTTTATGCTTTTGGCTTTTCTTTTGAACCCTGGTTTTCTCTTTAATAATCTACTTTTTCTTTGTCTCCAGATTGTTCGTTTTTTGTCCGGACTTTGCCCAGTACCAGTTTTGCCACGGCATCCAGCCTCCATCCTCGTCCAGTTCATCTTTTTCAATATTTCTGTTATTAAAACCTTTGACTTTATGTCTGCTCAGTTTGATTCACCGGTCGTTACAACAGGGTGGTCCTGTAATTTTCCCTTTTCTGTCTGTAAAAGTGGAAATGAGTGATTGAAGCTGACTGTTTTAGAGCCAGGAGCTAGTCAGATGAATTTAATGACACTTAACCACTGTATATATGGTTTGAAATATTAAAAAAATCATAATCATATAAGAACATTATTTTCCAATCCAGACTCCTGTGCAAAGATGAATTCAAATATTCTCCACACATGATTTACTTTACGGTTCTAAATCAAGAACCTTCTACACAATTATCCCAAAATTACAGCCTCTCAGCCGGCCTGTGAAGTTCGCACATGTGCTCCCCACATTTTGACTCTGGCACTGTGTAAGAGTCTTGTGAGGTCTAACTGAAAGGACAGTGGTGATGATCCAGGACACTCAACATTCAACAGCACTTATGGGCATGGGTCATCTGCTCCTTTTGGACCAATGTGTTTTCTGGTCTATTTCATGTGTTTGAACTGTTTGAGTCTATGATCTGTTGGCGAATGAAACGGTTGTATGAAGTCCTTCGAGATAGCTTTTGTTCTGATTTAGAGCCATACAAGAATATATTGAATTGAATTGAATCGACTTTGGATAATTGTCATTTCAACCCAGAGAACGCTTGTGACGGTTGCGATATAGCAAGATGGTATGGTTCAATTCAATTCAATATATTTTTGTATCGCCCTAAATCACAACAGTAATTATATCCATTTATTTATTGTGGACATGACAGTACATCACATATAACAATAACATTTCGAATAATTGTCGTCCTGTCACAATTGTAGTAAGCTCGGAGGACTTTTCAAAGCTGTGGATTTGCCAACAACAGATCGGAGAAACACAGTTAAAACACAGGAAATGCAATGATAAAAAAAATAAAAAAACACATTGAGCCATTGGTCCATAAAGGGCAGATGACCAATGTCCATAAATGCTGATAAAGTCCATAAATGTTGTCGAATGTTGAAAGTTCTGGATCATCACCACTGAACTTAGACCTTCCCGCATCAGCAAGGAAGAAGTTGAAGGTTTGGTATGAGTAATTTAATTTAATTTTTTTACCGAGACAGTGTACAGGTGCAGAGGTGTTCCCACCTCTGCACCTTCTCCACCGACTCCCACTGATGACTGCTGTCGTTGTGTCCTTGGGCAAGATACTTAACCCCACTTTGCCCAAAGCCCCCACTGAAAGATCAAGGCTATGCTCACACTCAGAGAGCAGCCGTCCTCCTGTGGACTCACCACCTGCAGAGGGTCAGTGAGGGGCTGGTGCTATGAGACTTGGGTGGCATCTCTGACTGCCACCCCCCTGACCCAGAAATGGATTAAAGGGAAGAAGATGGATGGATGGATGGATGGAGTGTACAGTAAATATTAGCTTTAATGAGAGATGTGTTGCACCAGGTTTTAGAAGTAAGTAATTAAGTAATATGGAGCGCTAATTTACCCTTGTCGTTACTTGGCAGGTTATTGTAAAACAGTAAAACCAAAATTTGACAAAACATGACCACACATTATCAGAAAGAACTTACCGTTTGATGTACCATACAAGTTGTAATCATACTACCCAGACCCATAATTTTTCACTTCAAGGGAGAAACAGGCAGTGGCAGGCCCCAGTTGCAAAACACATCGGCGAGCATGTCACCGTGGGTCTGTGCTCGCCATGTTGGTGTCTGGCAACGGGAATAATTCACCAGCGACCAGTGGCACCAGTGACATCTCCTTCAAGTCTCCAACATGCAGCCATCCACTCTGCTGCTGCTAACAATAGCACAATGTCCATCCTGTGTCAACTCCCAAACCAAAATGTTTTACCCGTTTGAACAAGCCTATTAGAAACAACTTCAATCTCAAAAAGCATAAAAAAGTTTGTTTGTATCTTTATTGAGTTGTTTTGATTATTACATATAACATACATATAGAACAGAATACATACATATAGAATACAAAGGTGGAAGGAATACTTCAGGGTTCTCCTTAATCCCCTGAGGATGTTGGGGCGGATGTAGGGGTCGGAGACCACAGGACTCTGTACTGATAAATCTTTACCCTATGCCTTTTGGTAAAACAAAAGTATTGCACTTGAATTAGGACATTTCTCCAGTCAAATAATCATCTTTACAAGTGAAACACGCCCAGGTTGATGTAATTTATCTTATTTGTTTATTTAAAGCTCATAACAATAATCAATTATTGTGATTTACAACATACATTCATTCATTCATTTTGGGCTTCTCTTTGTTCACTTCTGTCAAAGCCCGAAAATAAGTGGGAAGAAGTTGAAAGCTTCCACCCTATATACCTAAATTGACCTTCTATGGTTTGGTTGCTTTTATTTTATCTTATAAGAACATAAAATAATAATAATAATTTACCATCTCACCATATGCATATCTGCTCGATAGGAGTTTGCTCATTCCATTTCTTCTTCCATGATTGATACTTTATCCGAATTCTTTTAATGCCACTGGAAACAGAACGTCACAAACTAGGAATTGACTTTGGTCTATGTGCACGGTAAAGATCGTGACATGCCAAGTAACTATTCTCAAGATCAAGTTCAAGGGACAAATTGTACACAATTAAAGACTAATACTTTTTTTGACAAAGTAGATGACTTTGCCCCATTTTAATGCAACTTTGTCAGTAATGTTATGCTGGTGACATGAATTAAATGTATCAATTTTGTCTTATTTTAGCATTGGTTTTAGCTAACTTTTATATATTTAATGCATGTTTTAAGTGCTTTTTGTCGTGGTATTTTAATGTTTTAAAAACCTGTTGCTTCATGATTTTACTCCCACTTCTGCGGACACTGAAGGCAGCATGGCCACAATCAGTGATGAGCCCATACAAGAGGGCATTGGTGCAGGCAGCAGGAGGGAAGTAAAAACAGGAGCCCGCGCCAGCCATGCGGTGGACAAGACGGAACCACCTGAGGACAAGAACCGCCGCGAAGGGGACTCATGTGTGCGGCGGGCAATGGCCGTGTTCCCTTGGTGTGAGGACAGGGGAGAGATGAGCTGTGGCCCTTGCTGCCTCTGTCTAGAGCGGTGACTCCACGGCCCAAGACAGACGGGTACCGGGACTATCAAACGGACGGACGACCATGTGTCTTTTTTTACTTTATTTGAGCTTTTTAAAATAATGTTCATATAATGCTTTTCTATGATTTTATTAAAACATATGCATCTATCTAATTCTGCATTTTTATTGATCACACCCCGCTTTTAATGGACACTTTTAGAGCTTGACATAATTCTTACCTGTAAAAGAGTGTGAGCCTTTGTCGATCATTTTGAATCCAAAAGGCGGAGCCACAAACTCGTCAAGGGGTAGACATGCCAAAGACGAACAGACCATTTTTTTGTCTTTTGGAATAAACCATTTACACCATGTTGAGTCTGCCTCTCATTTTGACACTCGGGTCAGCTTCCCCACACTTGTTTTTTTATCACTTTATGCACAATAACAGGTTTGTCCATATTCTTACAAAGTACCAAAATGTGAAAACACAAAGCAATGATCCCTATTGCACCAGCACCAGAACATTTACTCTTGTTTAGCTCCCAGCGCTCTATCACCATTTTCTGAACTGCTGCACAATTTAAATTGAATGAGACCGATGATTAGAAGTCACAATTTCGGGAATTTGATGAAACTAATAATAGTTTAGCGCTGGCAGCTTGATGACACAGCGGTTAGAACTTGTGCTTAGTTTAGTTTGTTTATAGTTGTATTTCAAGCACAAAACTAACACTGTAGGTAGGTTAGGAGAGGTGTAGAAGAAGGGGAGATTCAGATGAGTGCAGAAGATTACTCAAAACATGCAGATTTGTTCACGGGTTAAAAGTTCCCAGTGGCTCAGTTGGTAGAGCATTGGCATTTGAGCCTGAAGGTTGTAGGTTCGAGCCCTCCACGAAACCTACTTCCTGACTCCCACTGATGACTGCTGTCGTTGTGTCCTTTGGCAAGACACTTAACCCCACTTTGCCTTAAAGATCAAGGCTCCTTTAGACTCACCACCTGCACGAGGATCAGTGAGGGGCTTGTGCTCTGTACTGGATGCAGCTCTGACAGCCACCCCCTGACCCAGAAATGGATTTAGGGGAAGAAAATGGATGGATGGAAGGATAGTTCCCAATAAAAGCTTGGCCAGGAAAATTGTGTCAGTGCACAATATTCCTCAATTTGAATTTCAAAGCTACAATGAAGGATGTACTGATACAATAGTGGTGTCAAATATTGGCGCAGATATTGACAACTAAGATAAACGTGGTAGGGGAAATTTTGACTGTATTTGACCCATCCTATAATACCACCAGGGTCTCTGCCAGGAGCAGTGGTCACCATGGTACAGCGCCCAGGGTCCCATCTCCAGATGTTGAAGGTCTGGGTCAGGACCAGCGCTGTTTTTAGTGGTAAGGGAAACCAGAGCATCCAGGGGAAACTAGCAGACATGGGGAGAACAAGCAAACGCCACCCTGTTCTGCTGAGATGAGATTACAAACCACTCTGCAACCAAATAAGTAAGTAAGTAAGTACAGTAAGCAATCTTAATTTATATAGCGCCTTTCACAGACCAGAGTCACAAAGCGGTTTACAAATGTTGTGGACATTTTTCCTCTCACTCCACACAAAGATGGGAGTGAGGTCGCCAGTACAGGAGGCACATGCCAGACCTATTGTACATGTTTTTAGTGGTAGGGGAAACCGGAGCACCCGGAGGACACAAACACGGGGAAAACATGCAAAACATACAGACCTTCTTGCTGAGAAGCGAGAGTGCTATCCACTCAGCCACCGTGCCACCCAGTGGCTGAGTGGATAGCACTCTCAGCCAACAAGTCATAAAAAAACTTGTTGGCTGATATTATTGAATTTATTGATCTTTTTTTTTTTCCATTTATCTTATTTACTCATAATGTCATTGAGTTAAAGCTTTTACTCAAACTATTTTGTTAGATAGTTTCCCGGATAAGAAACACAATTGGACACATTTTTGTTAAATTGTAGCTGTAATTACATTTTTTAAAGTATTTTCTAAGGCTGCTGGTGCACTGGTTTCACTGTGCATTTTCTATTGTGAGAGTCAGTTTCATGATCAATGTCAGACACAAACAACCTGGATAGGTGCATCCCTATCCACCAAATCTCAAAAAGTTTTAAAAAGCAAAAAAAAAGCATAATAAACAGCCCCTTTAAAAAGTTGACAAAATCCGCGGTGCAAACTTGGAGTATTTCCTACACATGCCACAATGCCAGGGCTCCCAGACATGTTTCTTCTCCAATGTCTTGCAGCTGCCCATTAAAACCATGTGGCACACCTCAAACAAAGCAATTGTCGAGAGAGAGACAGAAAAGGAGACTAGCCCTGGTCGCTATGGCAACCCCACATGTGTTTGATGCTGTGGTACTGGGACAATCTCAACCAAACACAACCATCCATCAATTAGGCCCGCGTATTAGGAGATATCACATGTGCAATGAGGTGTGGGGAGACAAGGGGAGGGCGGGGGGAGAGAAAGAGGGGGAGAGTTCTGTTTATTTATCTACACAAAAAAAAGAAAAATAATGAATCATATCAAAGGATAGAAGATGAGTTGAAAATGGTGGCTACACAGATGGTTTATGGAGGAGAAGAAGGCTTTTTTCTGGGACTGGTTTGCGGTGGTGTCATAACTGGTCTCTGTGTCTATTTGTGTGGAACTGCCTGTGTGGGCGGCCACTAAATATTCTCTGAACACGCTTTTTTTTTCTGAACTCCCAAACCAAGAATGCCACAGAGTTTAAAATTTATTGTGTTGGAACGACCCAGGCCGGCTCTTTTCCCCCAAAAGCGTGGTTATGGCCAGGCTTTATAATTGTAACATCTTACATGAATTATACGCAAAACCAGAATGTACTTGCATTGTAAATTAAAGAAACACGCACATGTCTCTAAATGTCCAGGTGAAGACGAAGAGTTGGTCAACGGCGGAAACGAAAATATGCAGTAGTAGAGGAGCTAACATGTAAAAGCAAAATGTAAAAATAAAAAACCAAATAGATAATATTTGGGAGATATATATATACACTGCAAAAAAATTATAAATTATGAGGTAATAATAGCTTGAATCTTAATTTGAAAACATTCTGTCAGTCGAAAAACAAGATTTACCAATGAAAAAAAGCCATTTAGTCTGTTTTTTTTATTTTAATTCTAAAACAAGATCGTTTTGCTTGATCAATTGGTAAATATTGTTTAAGGCTGTCACAGTGTGTTCAAATTAAGATTTTAATTAATTTGATTGATTGATTTTAATTTCATCAAACATATACTGTATGCCATGCCTTAGTTTATGTCACTTTTCATATAATTAGTCTATTTTAAGTTGAATTACAGAAATACATGAACATTTGAACGACATTAAGTCACACAAATGAAAACTCGGAAAATTGTATTAATCAAATGAATATAACTTGTTTGTTAAATTGTGGCTAATTAACTTTTTGTTTATAAAGCCTACATTTTGTTCGTCTCAAATCCTGTTTTAAGGAAGTCAAAATGTGCTCAAATTTAGATGCATTTGGCAAATTTTTTTGGACAACATTTTCATCACATTCGTATCCCAAATCCGTATTTTCAACAGCTGAATGAAAACATGAGCTCATATGAACAGCAGCAGACCTACGATTGCTTGTAGCTCCATCCGTGCTAACCCTAACACAAATAACACTACAACATGCTGTCTTCACCTTAACAGAAAACATTTTTGGTTATCTTTCGGTGGCCTCGCACCAAAGTACATCTGTGACATGTTAGTGCCATATGAACCAAGTCAGTCTCTGAGGAGCACAGGGACGGGCCTCCTGCTGATACCCAGAGTCAGGCCTAAACATGTGGGGGCTACCTTTCAGATTCATGCAGCTAAAATCCAGAACAGTCTTCCTGAACATGTGAGTGAGTATTCTATTTTGACCATCTTCAAACTGTGCATGCAACTGAAGGCTTGTATCACTCTTTTTAATGTATTGTGATTATTTATGATTTTGATTCCTAGTTTGCTCTAGTTTCTTTAACTGTTCTGTTCTGCCAAGTATATGAACTGTGCTATACAAATAAACCTGGCTTGCCGTAAAATCACATGACAAGATTTGTTAGAGGCCTTTGAGTCTTGTGCCGGTTGTTGACAACATCAGAGCGTGTGCGTTAGATCACCGTGTACATGTCTTTGAATGTTTTATTAAGTACAATACAGCTTCATTACTCGCTTCAATTAGAGAAAGGTGTCGCCGTCGCTGAAATCATTTACAATCGTCTACTTCTGGTGATGAAAGCGAATATTCCACATCAACACTTCTGTGCTATGTTAATTCCCTGACTTTGTTATCCTCCCGTGAATATTCCTCACTCACTAAGTATAAAATATTAAACCGTCGCCACCAACTGTGACTGACCTAGACTTTTTGCTTCCACATCACATTGTTCCTCCCCCACACACGCTTCGCAATCAAGCCGCATCAATTAGCGCCCGGGATCGCTACTTTTCTCCTCCATTGAAGGGATAATTGTCATCTCTGCGTACTTTTTTTGAAGCTGCCGAGCTCCTCTGACTGACACTGATACATACACGGCGAGTAATTACAAGTAAAAGACACATAAAGAATTGACTGACACCCGTAATTAACAAGGCGCAACATCGTCCTTTCTTGTGCCGTTTAGCCGCGCTTTCCCGATGTTTCGGAATAATCCATCTCAATCAAGTCGGCGCGCCAATGTTCTGGGGGTTTTCGGGATTGTCACACTCGCGTTAATTACTCCTTAAGATAATCAGGCTGTGTGGCTAGAGCGGGATCGGTCCCTGGGAATGATGAGAAGAAGGGAAAGGGGGGTTTTCGGTTTTAATCTTGCGGTGAGATCAGAGCTACCGGGCGGCTTCGGTTTGAGACAAGAACTCTTGGGGAGGGGGGGATGGTGGTTGGAGAGATTTGGAAAATGAGAAGGAATTTGGGCATCTTAACAGACTCTTAATTACATTCTCTCTCCTCGGCTGGTGGCAGGCATAAATGGCGGTCCCCAGGGAGGCTGTGATCCACTTTTCTGATCTGCAGAATTCACAGGCGAGGCGCTGATCAAAAAGACGAAAGGAAAAAAAGGCGGCCTAGATGCTTCAAACGCGCGGGACCTTTTCTGGCGGCTCACGGGACTCGGAGCGCTTGTCATTGAGCGGAAGTTTGAATTGTCGGAAGAAGAAAAATGGCGTCAGGAAGAAAAAAACTGGAAAAAAAGAGATGGATTGAGCGCTTTTAAAGAGGAGAATCAGCAGAGTTATGAATTGATAATGAGCGCTGAAGCGTTTGTCCTATATACAGTCGAGCTGCGATGACCTACGCCTACGTGCGCGCCGCTTCTAATTCGCCCAGTGCTGCTTTGATGTGGGCAGGCAGCAGCTGGATCCCCCGGGAGCCTGGGCTGTAATCAAGCGTTATTGCGTGTAGGACTGGAGCGTGGGTAGAGCGAGGGGAGTCCCGTTCAGTTCGCCAGGGCAATGCGGCGATCGCGAGAGGCCGCCAAAGGGTCAAGGCGAGAGAGAGAGAGGCGGCGGCGGCGGCGGTGGAGAGAGGACCGGCTTCGTAATGACACGGCTAACAAACCACTTTTCCTTCTGAGCCTGCGGTCAGGGGCAGCGCAGTGACTTCATACGTGCTGAACGCTCCCACAGCTTTGAGAGGAAATAAGTTCAAGAGGGTTCGGTGGCAATTACGGATAATGCGACTGGACTGGTGGCTGATATTGGCAAACTCAGATTTTTTTGGGGTTTTTTTTGTGGAGAATGAAGATGAGATAAGAGAACCTTTATTCGTCCCACAGTGGGGAAAGTTTGATGTTGCAGCACACTTATAGGACAGCAGTAAGAGCACACAAAATATACAATACAAGTAGGTGTGAATGCTTCATAAGAGCAGTAAGTAAATATCAATATATCTATCTATATATATGGATAGATATGTGTACATTGATTTATGGCAGGATAAGAAAGCAGATGATTCAAATTTATTGTGAGTATCATGTCATCCAATAGCGATATGTCAAAATATGTCTCTATAGATGAACATGAACTGAGCAAGAATGAAAGTAAAGCAAGAATGTGCAAAATGAAATCACATGTGTGCACGGCCACTTTACTGAGTCACTTTGTCCCAGACCCTCATGCTGCTAACATGTACAGATGTATACATCTACTATACTATACTAGATTATTCAGTGTTTTATACTTGCTTCTTTTTTTTTTCCAAAATTAGATATTTCTATACTTCTAGATTTTATTTTATGCTATTTTTTTAGCATTGAGTTATTGTTTGTTTATCTTGTCTTGTGTGCTACTGTTCTGTAACCGGTGATGCAACCCTGACATTTCCCCACTGTGGGACGAATAAAAGAACCAATTAAATGGAGATCCCTCGACCATTTGGTAGATCACCTTTAGTCAATATATCTACTTTAAGCAAGCTTGGAACTGAAATCTACATCTTTGGGGCATCTCACTTGGCTTAGGCAGTGTTTCCATCAAACTGCATCTCAACCATTTGGTAAAGGCCTGTGATTAAAATACTTTAAAAAAAAACGCAAGAACCAATTATTTGTGTTATTAGTGCTCCTACATCTTAGAAAATCCAAAAAAGAATAAAATTAATTATCGATAGCTTTCTAACACCATAAACACATAATATACAGTATATACCACCACAATATTATTTTTCCATTCGTTTTGATCGAATCCCTCGGTTCATATTCTGTGACTTGCACCCCTGCAGTCCGGCCTCTCCCCGGCTCCTGGCAGTCTTTCTTGTTGACTCCGTGTTGAAATGCCAAAACAGGCGTGAGAGAAAACAGATCAATGCAGCGGCTCCGTATCAGATGATAGAAAAGCTGAGAGGGCCGAGTGCTCACGCAGAACATCAAACGGGCCAAACAAAAGTGACATCATCATTCGGCGCCCGACTACAGCCTGACAGCTCCGAGGCTAAAGTTAACTCTCTCAGATCTGTCAGGCTGATGAGAAGTCTGCAAGGTTTAAGAGGCTCGCTGCAATAATGGAACCAGTGAGTGAACAAAGAAATAACCTGATATACAATTTCGGTCTATTGATAGTGCCTCAATTACACTGCAAAAGGTAATTAAAAATATGTCAACAATTGCTCAAATTAGGATAAATGTGTCTTGATTTAAGCACATTTTCACTGCCTTGAAACAAGATTTGCCAATAGGACAAGCAACATTATCTACTTTTAAGAAGATACAAGAAATGTCTCCCTTGGAATGAGAAGATACAGGGACAGTTCTTGAAATAACAAAATGGCTTTTTCCCATTTGCAAATCTTGTTTCAAGGCAGTCCGAATGTACTCAAATTAAGATGTTTCAAGCAAGTATAACTTTATATTTTATGCTTTTTTGCAGTGTACATTCTGTGGTTACATAGTGATAAAAGTGCTGCAGAACAATACAAATGTGTGTCTAAACGAGTGGACTCCTAGTAGCATCAAATTAGTAATATTAGCAGCTTTCACCATTCAAAAAATACACAGTGTCTTAAGCAAACGTTGAGATTCTTAACCATGAATACGTCTCCAGTGGGTTAGGCTACTGTGACAGCCTGCTCACTGATCTCGCCAAACGAGTTTAAAACAAAATGCTGCAGCTTAAGTCCTGACTAGAACCAGGAAGTACGACCACATTAGTCCGGTCCTCAGGTCTCTGCACTGGCTTCCTGTGGCTGCTCTCCATGGCCTCGCACCAAAGTACATCTGTGACATGTTAGTGCCATATAAACCAACTCGGACTCTGAGGAGCACAGGGACTGGCCTCCTGCTGGAGTCAGAACTAGACATGGGGAAGCAGCCTTTCAGATCGATGCAACAATAAAATCTATTTCTTTCTGAAAATGTGAGACAGGGTTCTACTTTGACAGTGTTCAAATCCAGGTAAAAAACTGTTCTGTTTAGCTGTGCATACAAGTAAAGGATTAAATCTTCACTCGTTTTAATGTACTTGGAATATTTTTTTTTTTTTTTATGATTTCATGATTTAAATTCCTTGTATTTACCTTTCTATCTACAGTGCCTTGCGAAAGTATTCGGCCCCCTTGAACCTTTCAACATTTCGCCACATTTCATTCTTCAAACATAAAGATATAAAAATATTTTTTTTTGTCAAGAATCAACAACATGTGGGACACAATCGTGAAGTGGAACAAAATTCATTGGATAATTTAAACTTTTTTAACAAATAAAAAACTGAAGTGGGGCGTGCAATATTATTCGGCCCCCTTGCGCTAATACTTTGTAGCGCCACCTTTTGCTGCAATTACAGCTGCAAGTCGCCTGGCGTATGTCTCTATCAGTTTTGCACATCGAGAGACAGGAATTCTTTCCCATTCTTCCTTGCAAAACAGCTCGAGCTCAGTGAGGTTGGATGGAGAGCGTTTGTGAACAGCAGTCTTCAGCTCTTTCCACAGATTCTCCATTGGATTCAGGTCTGGACTTTAACTTGGCCATTCTAACACCTGGATACGTCTATTTGTGAACCATTCCATTGTAGATTTGGCTTTCTGTTTTGGACCATTGTCCTGTTGGAAGATAAATCTCCGTCCCAGTCTCAGGTCTTTTGCTGACTCCAACAGGTTTTCTTCAGAATTGTCCTGTATTTGGCTCCATCCATCTTCCCATCAATTTTAGCCATCTTCCCTGTCCCTGCTGAAGAAAAGCAGGCCCAAACCATGATGCTGCCACCACCATGTTTGACAGTGGGGATGGTGTGTTCAGGGTGATGAACTGTGTTGCTTTTACGCCAAACATATCGTTTTGCATTGTGGCCAAAAAGTTTGATTTTGGTTTCATCTGACCAGAGCACCTTCTTCCACATGTTTGGTGTGTCTCCCAGGTGGCTTGTGGCAAACTTTAAACAAGACTTTTTATGGATATCTTTGAGAAATGGCTTTCTTCTTGCCACTCCATAGAGGCCAGATTTGTGCAGTGCACGACTGATTGTTGTCCTATGGACAGACTCTCCCACCTCAGCTGTAGTTATCTGCAGTTCATCCAGAGTGATCATGGGCCTCTTGGCTGCATCTCTGATCAGTCTTCTCCTTGTTTGAGATGAAAGTTTGGAGGGACGGCCGGGTCTTGGTAGATTTGCAGTGGTCTGATACTCCTTCCATTTCAATATAATTGCTTGCACAGTGCTCCTTGAGATGTTTAAAGCTTGGGAAATCTTTTTGTATCCAAATCCGGCTTTAAACTTCTCCACAACAGTATCTCGGACCTGCCTGGTGTGTTCCTTTGTCTTCATGGTTCTCTCTGTGCTTTAAACAGAACCCTGAGACTATCAAAGAGCAGGTGCATTTATACGGAGACTTGATTACACACAGGTGCATTCTATTTATCATCATCAGTCATTTAGGACAACATTGGATCATTCAAAGATCCTCACTGAACTTCTGGACTGAGTTTGCTGCACTGAAAGTAAAGGGGGCTGAATAATATTGCACGCCCCACTTTTCAGTTTTTTATTTGTTAAAAAAGTTTAAATTATCCAATAAATTTAGTTCCACTTCACGATTGTGTCCCACTTGTTGTTGATTCATGACAAAAAATTAAAATGTTATATCTTTATGTTTGGAGCCTGAAATGTGGTGAAATGTTGAAAGGTTCAATACTTTCGCACTGTATTTTTCCTTTCTGAACATTTTGGCATTCGTCCGCGCAGACAAGTATTCACTATCTATTGACAGGCAACATTCCACTGAAACGTAATTACTCTATCTTCGAGAGCATTGCTGATTGTTTTATGTTGAGGATTGAGACAAAAAGTCATGAAAACCTTGCGATCATAAAAGATCATGAAAAGCAGGAATGTATTTTTAGGCACATGACATTTACTTGAATCGCGTTGCTTCACGACTTCACAACCGCTTTGAAAACTTGTAACGCGGATGAAAAACCAATCAAAGACGTCATGTCAAATCTCCCAATAATATACAGGACACAAATAATGGGAGAAATAACTCACAAATATTGGGCGAGTACAGGATTTTGCATGAAATCCTTGTATCATTACAATGTCACACACTGTGCCTTACATGGAACTTTTGCACATTTTGGCATTTTCACAACCATAAACATTTTGATTCTTATCCTGAAAGGTCACACACAAGTATCTAAAATCTAAATAGTAGAAAAGGAGGAAGTGCACAAGAATTCAGACAATATACTCTGAGTGCATCACATTTCCTTAAAAAAATTCCTAATGACGGTTTGTTATGGCTCTTTTGAAAGACAAGTGAGATGTATTTGGTTGTTATCATGTTTCAAATTTTTAGAACTGTCACATATCTTTGTGACGTGTTTACATGGATCTATTATATTGACTGGATAGGGTATTACTAGTTTATAGCTGAAGGACCCATGTGCTCGATGGA